ATATTGCAGATTGGCATAATTAACAACCCCTTTCCGATTGCTACGTTAAGAAAACAATGAATCAAAAGAAAATTTGGCATTATAAAAGTGTAAAGTGTTCTATGGTAGAAAACGGTCGTTTTAATTACGAACTCTTCAGATTGAACCAAATTAAATATGAACTTGTTAATGAGCCAAATAAAATACAAATTTGAGTTGACTAAGCCATTTTAAGTATGTAATTAGTCAACACTAATATTTGTTTATTAGTCGTTAAACGACGTTTACTGTAAACGTTAACTAAAACGACACAGTTTTACAAACAGATAAAAGATAAGAATTGTAACAAGCTGTTGAAATTGATTTACATAAATTACGCACAGATCGAATTTAACCTGGAGTTAAATTGGCGACATAATTTTTTGGGGCTTCTTATTGTATTATCTATGATCTAACAAGACATTTGTATCAAGTTTTATCACTTGTGATCGGGAGAATCTTTTTCATGTGGGTGAAAAAAGTTGATGATTCAAACTTGTGATGGTGATAATGATTGAAGAATGTCTAGAAGTGGTTTCTTCGAAAAGATTGAAATCAAATTGACTACTCTTAGAAGTTAGAACATCCATCAATCAAAGCGTTTGGTTTGTTTGTCTCATTATATGGTTGACATTTTTCTTCTCTCGGACTTGCATGGTGATGATGAATCTTACAGAAATTTTCAAGTAGTGGTTTGATTAGAGGGGTACTATGTACGTTGAGTTTATCTATGTCATGGGACTTACTATCTACATACAAATAATTTTTTTACAAGTTTATGTTAGACCCATAAGTTTTGGTCATGGCATTCTTTGAAGCTATTGACAATGTCCTAAAAGCGAATAACGACGTTTGAGTTGTCACATTGTTCATCTCTATGTACTTCCACCTTGTGTTCATGATGGTAGCTTTTAAACAGGGTGAAGATTTTGATTTGGCTACAAGAATTTTTTGGGCTTCTTATGGTTTTTTATATGATCTAACCAAGCATTGGTATCAAGTTTTATCACTTGTGATCGGGAGAATATTTTTCATGTGGGTGAAAAATTTGTTGATTCAAGCTGGTAATGGTGGTGATGCCCAAATGTGTAAATGTTGAAAATACATCGAGACCATAGCGTTAGCGCAAGATCTGATTTAAAATTTATTTATTTTTAGGTGTTTTCGACTTTGTTGTGAGTTATTTACCTTTTTTCTAATTTCCAGTTGTTTTATATATCAAGATTAGGTGCTTTGTTATATTATTATTTTTCGTATTTAGAAAAATGATAATAATTTATAAGATTCTATAATTATACAAAAGAGAACCAATAAATTAATATAATTTGAGCTAGGCCAATGTTTTTGCATATTTAACTAACCATCGACTTCATGGTTGACTTTCTTTTGAATGGTTTGAAACCTTTATCCATTTGTGGAAGCTATTAAGTGTAGGGCATTGTCACAGGAAATGGCAATTGTTTAGATTCTTCCACTCTACAGTCTCGTTTCTAATTGCTACCAAGTGCATCATATATCATTTTCGAATCTTCACATAAATCGGCAATTTGATAACAATATCGTGAAATCTGTAAGACGGTTTCACGTAGAGAAAAGGCTTCAGCCCTTATTGAACTTGTTGTTGGCTCTATAGTGGTGGATCCATTCATGATCTTACTCTCTTTTTATTAAAAACATCAACTTTGACTTGAATCAGACCATGAATGAGAAAGATTTCTCCTTATGGGACATGGGGTTGTGAAGACAAATATATTTTTATATGTCTATTCAAGATTGAAAAAAAATTATCAACTTTGGAATATTTTCTCTAGTTACAATGTACTAAAAACAGAGTTAAGAGAAAAAAAAGAATAGTAACAATCTTAGTCGTAATT